CACGGATATAGTGGTGACTCGTGTTTGCAGTCTTTCTTTTGTATGCTGTATGGGCAGTGTGACCCCGGCTTTAGAGAGAGGGCCCCCAAACGACAGACAGATCATCTCCAGTGTCCATTATATTGTCGCGGGTGGTGACCAAAAGAACAATAAACAAACAGAAAGAAATCAGCGTTTAATGTGGCGAACTTGTGCCAAAATTAAACGGGTAGAAAAGATAATAACAGAGCGTCGGAGGCGGCGCAGCGGCAGAGTCGAACGCTGGGGCGAAACTGACTGCAGATCAGCACGCGGAGTCCCTTATGTACGCGCGTTGGGTTCTGGAACAATCGGCCTAGATCACGGTGGCCTAGATTGATCGGCGACTGGAACATTCGGAACTCGATCAGACGAGAATGTTCTCGAACTCACGAGAACGCAATGTTGAGAGAACAAATAAAAGAGCATTCTACTGACTGGAATCGAACCCAGACGTTCCACGCGCCAGTCAAGCAGGGTAACCACTCGGCCACGCGTGCGGTCGCTCGCCGATGAGCGTGGCAATATTAGTTCACTCCTTAATAAAGCTGCGGTTACACTGATCATAAATGGTACACTAAGGGCACGGCGTTCGCTGCAGGCACGATGACGGAATCATGTAGGCATTGAACATGTCTGCAGGACAGTTCTTGGATGGCCAATGGGCCGTCGTACAAGGGAAAGACATGCCTCGGGCAGTAGAGAGTTTTGGGAACCGTTTTTGCACATTCGACACGGTACGACGGGCCCTCCGGTACGAACTGCGCATGCGCTATCGCAGAAGACTCGCACATGCGCAGTGCGTACCGGATGGCCCGTCGTACCGTATCGGATGTGCAAAAAACGGTTCCCTAAAACTCTCCAGTATCTGCAGACTGTCTCTTTTGTGATGTGTACTAGCACTGTACCGCGGCTTAAAAGAAAGGTGCAACATTTGTTTGTGCATTCGTTAAATATCACCTACAATCATTCCTTGATGTCCGCAATCCAGGAAACATGCGTTCGATTTTATTTTTTTTCACACAATAGCAGTCGCGGAAAAGAAAAAAAGAATAAAGAAACAAGCAGCGTTTGCTCCCGCAGCAGCAACGTTACCTCGCAGCCGTCTGGACAAGGAACCGCATGACTTAGTACCGTTGGTGCGCCGCCATTGTAGATCACCCTTTCCGCAAGGGCGCAGTCATCTTGAACTTCGTCACTTCTCGTGTGCGTTAAAATATCGTTCTGATTATCTCCACGCGGCTGCAAGGGGTTCACAGAAAAGCCGTGATTGTGAAACATTCTTGTTTTGCCTCACCAATACTTTCTCGCCTATTCCAGGCATAGAGTTATTATAATGTACGCTAGAGGTTCAACTGGCGCTAGTGTCTATGCGACTTCCGTGACGCAAATTGAAGCAGACAGCAACCAGTCTACTTTTGCGGTGCTCCTGTGCATTCCTATGGGAAAGCCCGCGTGCATTTTGTCTTTTCGCCGGAAAATAACACGGAACACTTTGGTTATTTGGGTCGTTCCGAATGGTATGTACCTTGAATAACACTGTAAAAGTGTAATTGCTTTAGTTAGCGCATTTTTCTTCATCGGTGACCGATGTTTAACTTCGCTACATTTTAGTCCCAAACGTATGTTTCGCAGCAGGTGTGTAAAAACAAGCGACGTTTCGAAGCAAAATTACAGTCGAAACGAACATAGAGTGTGTTCAAGGCTCGCCAGCATTCCGGTGACGCTTGTATATTGATAATATACCAGTCCTGTCACCATATGAAAATGATCCCGTCGTGCATGAGCGCAAAAAAACCTTCAAAACGTAGAGAATAAAGTCCGTGGGCTATGAAAGGTGTCCCTTCGTGTGGTTTTCTCTACTGGGCAGCTTTTATCGTGCACTAGTTCTCAAAGCTATCGAGCGCGCGGGTGATAGTTTGAACGGAGAACAAGCAGCTTCGCTCAGGGCAGAAAAAATAAAGCGGTACTTACTTCTTTAAGGTCGGAATAGATTACGCGGCATTCATTTTATTTTGATCGTACATGCACTGCGAGTTACTGATCCAGTGTGACTGCGTAGTTCTTGCCGCGCTCTTGATTTTCCAGATGTCCTTCGTTCGCCAAACCCCCATGCTGGAAATCGCCGACGCCGCGTTCGCGCTAACAGTGTCCGGCAGTGCACATAAATACACGTACGAAGCCGTTTTAGCGCCGTTTTTAATGCGACGAATTCGAAAGAAAAACGCCGTAACTGACCAATTATTTTGTCGGCCTGACTGAGAAATGTTTCAAGCTACCTAGTACGTACGAATTATTTGGGATATTTGCTCTTATGATCGAGCGCAGGGAGAAAATGCACTCACTTTTTTCCATAGAAATGCATTACCGGAAGTCCATTTTCGACTGGTTGCTGTCTGCTTCAATTTGCGTCAGCACACTAGCGCCACTTGAACCTCTAGCGTACATTATAATAACTCTATGATTCCAGGTTGGAATGTTTCATTATTTTTTTCGACTCGCATACAAGATACAGAGCAAACGTGGTTGAGAACGAAAGGAAAGGAAAAATCTTAACTTCTCAAAATCTGTCCCTAAAAAAATTAATACAATTACACGATTACGTAGTCATTAGTGCTTTGCACAACCACACGAATCATCCCGTGGTGGCGATTGTCGAAGGCTGCTTATAAATTGTAGGCCAGCATTGCGTGAGCGCTCGATTTGGACTTGGCACAATCAATGGCAGGGCGAACATTCGTGGAGTGGCTTGTGCCCAGTAACTACAATGACGGGAATACCTAAATCCATAAGAAGAGTTTTAGAATAGGGGACTGTAAAGTTTATATTCGTCTCGTCTCGTCTCGTGACGTGAAGTCTCTCGTTGTCTTCGGGTCTGTGCTGACGTCGTTGTCGGCGATTGCCAGTCAAGGGTCTCTTCTCTTGGGTTTTAGTGATGTCGGGATCGTAGGCTTTTAGGGTTGAATAACTTGGTTTAATATGCAGGTATTATACACAAATATTACGACATAGTCAAAGTTCGGTAGTTTTCAAAAGTCAATGGCCTCTGCCGTTTAACTGTCTAAGTGACACCTCTGCACTTTATCTACTCGATTTTTCGGCATCGCTCTCGATGGGACTTTTACATCAGTATCGCTCTCGATGCCTCTTCTTTTAAATCTCTTCACCGACTCCCCCTCTCAACTCTTCCGCTCCCAACATAGCTACCCTCGTCTCTCTCTCTCTCTCTTTCACTCTCTCCCTCTGACACGCATTCTCGTCTCCGTGGTATGGCTACACAAATCCCGACAAGCAAAATAATAAATGAGTTCAGTTGGCGCTATCCAAAACAAAACGGCCCTCCGCCACCGACTCTGTAAACATTCCAATCATCGACCCCTACAAAAGCACGTAAAAGTCCTTAATATACCTCTCGTGTTCACAATAGCCGGTTCCCGGTACAACCCTGAAAGGTCGACAACACGAGATGGGAGGTGCCATCAACGGCATAAAGCGCGTACATAAATCAGCACACATTCCGAACGAAGCTGTCAAGAGCAGATAGAATAATATAAAGCACCTCTGTAGACGAAGAACATAGGCGGAGCTCTATATGAACGGGTGTAAGGTTACAACATTCACGATCGCGCCTCCCCTTGGGGCCCATCGACCCCGGGAAAGGGCACGCGCCGTGCCGTAAGGATGCTCGGACCCCCGAAGAAGGCAAAAACATACAAAATAACACAACAGGGACCCTAATGCTTTCGGTCCCTTAAGCGGCTTTCTGCGTCGTACCGCGCAGGCGCACATGTTCTGCGCATTCGCGTTTGCATTCGAAGAGCTTGGGACGCCCCAAGCTGTTACGTGTTCCCAAAGAATTAGGGTTTCTTTGAATTAAAACTTGAACTCAGCGCGTGTCCTGCGCTTGGCCAAGCCCAACGCTTGGCTGCACTGGTGGCACACAATGGGCTCCATATCACGTGGCCGTTTGTTCTGCCTCCCAGTCGAGGGAATGAACGCTGCTCATTTTCCTTAGATTTTTTCTGCGTCTGCCAGTAGGTGGACGCAGGGCATCTACCACTGCCCGTACCAATGGATAATCTTGAGATTCGTAGGTTACAAATGTGAAGATTAATACTCTGCTGAATTTTGTACAAATACAAAAATTGTTGCAGCACCCCTTTAAGGGAACTGGACCAACCGACTTTAGTTAAATCTTGACGTAGACATTGCGCTGCTTGATCCGAGGTCTGTCGGAACTGTACCAATCAAACGTGTTTCCGGCCTATGGCACATCATACTCATCAGGGACTTTTGGAAATCATACCTAAGCAGACGACCTATCTTACCAAGGTAGCAAGGAAGTCGTGACCGAGGGGCCGAGTTTCCCACGAAATGTCAGGGCAGTTTTGTTTAACAAAGTGTCAAGTGTTCAAAAAAGAAAACCTATCTCCTTAGCGCAAGTCTAAACAGCGCACCGCCCAACGCTTCTTCTTCGCTCAAATGTACAGCTAGGAGTTGGGACCAGGTGCTACGTTCATAGCTTACCATTATCAGACTAACTGAAATGTTATAACTGTTTTTTGAAAACTTAAACGTAGTAATGGTGGCCTAAGAAGACCGAAACACCTGACGATATACAGCGTCTGCTACCGGATACGGGTCCTAGTTTCTCAGTAAAAATGTTCGCAAATCGCTTGTAAAGTTTTAGCCAAATAACGGATTGTTCTGATACTTTGACATTCGGTCCCAACCTCCAGCTCTACAATTGGGCTGCGAGTTGGAGACTAAACGTTCGGTAGCGGAACTTTTTTTTTTTATTTTATGGGAAAATTTTGGATTTTTGTTTTACAAATACCCGGTACTGTGATAAGAGTTCCTCCAGATTATTTTTTTTTTATATATAAATATTGTTAAAAATGTTTACAGCGATTTTATCGCCAAAAGCCAAGATTTTCCAGTCAACGGATGGGGTCAGACGCCTTTTCTGATGTCCGACGCAGGCAGCTCCTGTTTCAACAGAGCGCCAACATCCAGACGCGGGGACTGCTGGTGTCTCTGCTCATCAAGGCCTGCGGCGTGTCCGCCGACAGCGTGGAGCTCCGCGACGTGGTCCTGAAGCGTCAGAAGCTGGTCGTGAACGCCACCGAGGAGTTCCACGCGGCGCAAACCATCCACGCGTCGGCCGCCAACCTGGTGGACCAGGCGCGACTGGACCCGCTGGTCCTGGATGACATCCAGACGGGCAACAAGATGACCGTCCTCGCAGGAGACTTCTTCTTCTCCAAAGCCTTTCAGACGACGACGGACATTGGTATCCCCTTGGTACGATGTTTGGATCCGTTCTCGCGTGATAGGATTGGCGACCTTGAGGTGAGGCAACGGTAGCTGAGTGCGAGGTAGCCGACGTGGTCGGAATGGAGGGTGTACTCCTCTTACACGGGCAATGATTAGATGTAATCTTGCATGAATGGGATTGGTCTGAAATTACCTCATGTATCCAAGTGGAGAATATAAGCTAAAATACTATCCACACTTTTGTTTCCTTTTGCGTTTGCGGTTTCCGCGAGCTTTACTATCTTTCAATTTATCATATAGCCCGAAGTATGACATCTCCAATTCGCATTTTATTCCAAGATCGTAGCACAGCTGTCTCAAAAACTGGCAGGTACGCCAAATAAGCATGTGACTGTTTGAGCTCATACAGTCCAGGAAACTATTGCATACAAGGTGTGATAAAAGAAAAAAAAAGTTCCGGGACTGATTTTGTAGCGTCAAAAGGGAGAGCAGCACAGTGAAGCGCGCGCAGCAGTCAAAACGAAAATTGGAGCATGTGTATGCTTATACAGCCTAGAACTTAATCTGTCTCAACGGGTGACTTGTCTCCCAGCTGAGAAATTTAGCCAGTGCAGTACAACACTATAGCCTCGGGTCTTTAAGGTGCACCACGCAGTACACGACCGGACGCCGGTACGATGCTCATACGGATCGAAACGGGCAGAGGTAGGGAATGAGTCCAGCAGGATCCCTCGGTTCTGCAGCACGAGCTTTCACTTCACGTGCTCCGAGCTGGTGTCCACTAGCCCACTCTGTCACCGATCTCCCTCCCCCCTCCCCACAGCAGTCGAAGGAAGGGGCCTTTGTGTCTCGTTATACCCAAGGGCGTCGCTCTGTGAACATTTGGAGCAGCGCTACACGAGTTTTGTGACCACGTGCACGGGCACAATGGCGATTTCAGCGTAGACTGCAAACGAGAGCGAACATCCGTTCAGCGTTAAACGTGGCAGATATAAAGCAGAGCCTTTTAAAATTATTCAACAGGCTTCTATAAAAAAGCAGCGAATTTTGCGATGTATTTTAATTGGCACTCTCGCCTCAGGAAAGGCAGGACATTGCTGGAAGACGAAGAGCGGTAAGGCAACCTTATCGGACCTCTTCTTGACTTCAGTAACGTTTTGTCATTTTTGAGGCGCAAGTGCCCACTCAAGATTCAAAACACCTCGCACACTTCACTGCTTTTTTTACATAAGCCTTCTAAATATTTTCATAAGTCCCTGGTTTAGATTTGCCGAGTTTGACGTAGAATTGATGTTCGCTCTCACTTTGGTTTGCAATCTATGGAGTGATCGCCATTATGCTCGTGCACGTGGTCACACAAATCCGTGTACAAGCGCAGCTCCGAAAGTTCACAAACCGACGCCCTCTGGTATAACCTTTAGGTATAACGAGACACAAAGGTCCCTTCCTTCGACTGCTGCGCGCGCATCACTGTGCTGCTCTCTTTTAACACTACAGAATCAGTCCCGGAACACTTTTTAAGCACACCTGCTATATGCGAATAGTTGTTAGAGGCGAATATTACCCTGCCATTTATATCCTTCATAGCGCGAAGGAAAACCATTAGAAACACTTCTCTTAAAGGGATACAAACACCAAATTCTGGAGCTCATTTCTTTGCTTGAACATGACATAGGTGGCAGTAGAACCTCGGACACATCAATACTTTGTTGGAAATGCAAGAAAACATATTTTAAAGTGAATTAAATGAGATATAAAATCGACCTGGTTGTAGATTATGAACAAGGGAATGTCGCGACGGCATTGGCCTTCGACGGCAGTGCCACTACCGTAAAACCATTTATTTTCGTGGCCCCTATTATTCGCGAACCGGTGACAGACGACATAATCGCGGCCACAAAATTTCGCGAGTTTCAAATGACTGCATCGAAACTCTTATAAACCGAAATTTTCGCGCGCCCTTAAATTTCGCGAATTTTTCAATTAAAGGCTCGCAAACATTAAGGGTTTTAATATATCGGAAGTAAGCTCACTAGTACAGATTACCTAAACCACAACCTTATAATATCGAAAGTTTGGCGAAGAAAACCAAAGCACAGTTGGCCACCTTGAATTCACTCCACCAGATAATCGCTTTCACTCATTCTTTGACGTCAAGGTCTGATGAACGATCTTTTTCAACATGGTGCGCGCTGCTTTCAACTTCATTCTCGCCGAGGGACGCCAACTTCTGGAAGTGACGCAGGTTTACGTCGCAGAGTTGTGACGGTGTTCGTTTTTGTGCGCGGTATAGTTTGTGCAACGACGTGAGAACTCATTCCGTGTCGACGAGCTAAGCATGGACGATCGCGGAAGCCTCGTTCGACGAGACCGACAAAAGCGGTGCCAGTGTACCCTCTTCATTCGTTTAATGTTTGCCATTGAGACAAGTCGCGTTGCCAAATCGCGGCGATGTGAGCATTTTTTCGTGGTAGTTTTGGTGTGACGATATGAAAATTGTACAGTTGTTTTCTCTGTGCTCTGTGTCTTCGCTTGGAAAATGACGTCCCGTCGAGATTCCGGCGTAGAGGGGGCTTGCGCTGATCAGCGCAAGCCTCCTCTACGCCGGAATCTCGTCGCTTCGTTTAGTTTCCGCCCTTGTGACAAGGAATGTCGCAAAACCCTCATAGTGTACTTGTTTCTTCGCAGTGGGGTGACAATGTCGCGGTCACACCACTATCGATGCGATACGCTGCGTAAAATGCACGAGTGATGCCACCGCCGTGCTGCCTCATCAGACTCGACCGGCTTCCCTGCTCGCTTTAATAATTAAATGCCCACTGTTATGGCGACTTCAAAGCGATACTTACTTATCCATGAATCTGGTACGCACACCCAGTCTGGTCGTGTGATCAGTCGGTGGTAAATCGGATAGGCAGCAAGTGCCTCGTCCTGCGACTGTCGCACATGATCCTTCCATCAGCTTCGACAACACGAGGTAGGAAAGCTACCAACATCTCCACAACCTAGTTTAGTTTAAAAAGCAGCGAGCTCGCGCCCCAAACCGACGTTGCCGATGTCGCCATACCGGCCAAGTCGCGCAGCTGACAACGTGGTGTCATAGCACGCACGACTCCGCCAGCTCCGCAATCTCACGGGGACAGCACTCGGGCACTACGACAAAGCAAGGTAGTAGCGCTTTGACGCCACCAAGTGTCAGTGCCCATAACTACGGTATACCCTTCCCCAGGGAGGCCGATGACGTCACGGGCAAGTCGCGACGCGACGGGTATCCCGAGACGAAGCGTGCTCTTCAATGGCTGATCTTGAAGTGCTCGCCAGCATCAAACATTTCAAGGGCTAGGGAAACGAAATTCCAGCGCTCATTTTCTCGCTTGTATGTGTTGAATGTTCCACCCTAACCTCAAAAAACACCAGTCTTCTGTTGAAAGGCACAAGAAATGTAATTTTAAAGCTAAATAAATGATCTTCCAATGTGCACCTGGTGGATGCATGCGGAGCCTATTTGGGAGGTAGTCTAGCAACGTTGTGGTATCTGCTACGTAGTCGTGACGTAGCAGATTCCTTCGGAGCAGCGCCGCTATTTGGCATTTCAACCTTTCTCGGACCCTCGTTCTTGCAACCGGACACAGCCATTCTCCCCCTAGAAGGCCCGTCGCTCAAAACTCGAACAAAAGTTGCTTTCCCCACCCCGTTCAGCCCTAAGCTGACAGTGTTGTGGAAGCTACGTGCTCCTTGGGCCTAGGGTGCCTTCATGTGCGCCCTACTTGGGCCAGCCACACGCTCGTCACCCCACGGGTACTTCGAACGGCTCGGTTATAACGCGCTGACGCTATTCAGGAGTTTTCGTAGATCGTTTTTGCCGTCCCGCAAGACCCTCCGCAACCCGCTACGATACGGGAGCTCCACAGTCAAGGCTACCGGCGCGCAGGCGCAGTAGCTACTTCTTCGTTGCGGAACGCTTAGCGGAGGGGGCAGCGCGGTCTACAAAAACTCTCGACACTACCACAACGCTGACAACGCCACCAAGGTCAAAGCTCATAACCAGGCCAGCCTTGCTACTCCACGAATGCGGGAAATCATTTCTTTGTTTTTGTTTGCGTCGGATATCCCATGACGCATCGCGCTCTCCGTTCGCTTCTCTTCGAGCGCTTGCTCTACTGCACCGTTTGGAACGAGAAATATAGTGAGTCATTCAAAATACAAACGTGCGATTATCATTTACGGTTATTGGCCGTCATGCTTGACTCATTCCCGAACGAAATTTGAATATTTCAATTTTTGTTTCCGTACCCCTTTAAAACAAAAATGCAATCGTCCATTTGAAATACAAGAGCGCGATTGTCATTAGTGAACAAAGTTGATCATGCTTAACCTATTTGTGGACCTTAGAGGCTTATTCCAAGTTTCGATTCAGTTTTCTTTTAATGGGACACTGACACACCTCAAAATTTATTTTTTATTTTGTTCCAGCCGATTTATTATGGTGTCAGAAGACAACTCAATCTGTTTTGCTGGAGCATCACGTACATTAAAAAAAAGTAAAAATGAAAACCGTTTACAACTCCCTGTAACGCCGAATTAGAGCGCAGGTTTTGAGGAGGAGGAGGGAAGGGTATTGAGGGGAGGGTATACCCCTCCCCTCAGTAGGAGGAGGAGGGGGTCACGTGACTTTGGGGGTCACGGGGAGGTCACGTGACCTTGGGGTCACTTGACTTTGGAAGGGTCATGTGACCTCATGGTTACGCCGTGGCGACGGTGACGCCGACGCCGCCGAAGCCGGAAACGGGCGCCTAAGAGCTGCGCTCTAAAAAAAAAAGAAACCGCAACTTCTCGAAACCGATACCGAAACTGGACTGCGGAGGGAGAAGAAATGTAGAGGAGGAGAAAAATTGCGGAAGTCACGGGGCCGTGCTACTTCTTTTTCCCAACGAACTTATTCGCACTTCAGCGACCTATAGGGGGCGCCACCAGAAAACTAACATGGCGGCTGGGTCCAGGTCGCGTCGCCTCGCCTCGACTGGACCGCCCGAACGGGTGGCGCATTCAATTTAACGGATTTTCTTTTGTTTAATGCCCAATTTTATAGGTATTTGAACTGCGACGGTTAAGTCTAGCCGGTGCACACAAACTTACAAAGCAAAGTTTTGTTTTCCCGGTGTTTTATTGTTCTTTCATGTCAAACTTTCGTTTCGGAGATTTCGTTCAAAAACAAAACTATGGGCTCCGGAGAGACGGTAATGGACTCTAATCAGTTTTGATCAGCTAAGGAAAGCGGCGGTGACTACAGAACTGTTCCACCGAGAGTAATTTTCAGCTAACTCGCATGCCTCGGCCACGCGACTTATCTGTCCGCGAAATCGAGCTTTCGTGCGTATCCGTGTTTAAGGAACAGCTCCAGTCGTCTGCTCGGTCAACAACACAGGCTGCAGGAAAATGACGAAAATTAAGCAAGCGCTTCTTGAGCCAAGAAGCATGTTAACCCGTTGGCGCCGCACTAAGCAGCTGATGCCCGTATTTCTATGCAGGTTTTAGTAGCAATCGAGAAGTCATTTTGACGAGCAGGTTATGTATTATATTACGTACAATGGGGGGGGGGGGGGGGGGGTCTCACTAAAATGATATTAACATATTCTTCGAGTTGAAATATGAGCTTAGTTGACTAGCTGTTAAAATTTCTAGGGGTGGGGGGAGGTGGGAGGTGGGTGGGGCATTGAAAATAGAGGAGTCGTTGCGAATTAAGGAGTTGCCTTCAGAGAGACAAGGGGGGGGGGGGGGGGTGCACCAACTCTAGGGGGTGTGTGGGTAAATCACTGCAGTGCAGCAAGCAGTCTAAGACATACTCTTTCAAGCATTCGTTTCGCGTTGTTGCGTAGGTACTGGATATAACTTTCAAAGCATTCATTTGACACCATGAAACTGCTTGTAATTAGCTGGGAACAAAATCTACAGTCCAAGAAGTGAACCCATGTCTTCTACAGGCGTCACTTCTTCGTTGTTGCCAGTAGAGACTTTCAGTTTGAAAAGCACGGTGAGGACCGAAATGTTAAATTCATTAAATTCGCAAAAAGAAAAAGAGAAAGAATTAAACACACAATATTTTCAGCTAATATTTGGGATACTATTTCAGCGATGATTGTTGGTGTGTTTAGCCAATTTTTAGGCAAATCAGGTACCATGAAGGAACCGCCGGAGTACTTCTTTAGGAGTGTTGAAGCTAGATATGACACTGCGCCATTCGATTTGAACTACTGTTCACATACCCTTATTACTTTCGACCTTGAATAGCTTCAGGAGTATAATCAGAAGTCCTCAGAAATCTTTGGTGCGACATGTTGGTGTCACCTTGTGACCGCTTTCAGCCAACCTTCGTCGTCTATATCAAGCTGATGAAATAAAAAAATAGCAGTGTATGATGACTATTGGCTAAAATGGTTTCTTCACTATGCGTTAGCGACCTGGTTTCGGTATAATTGCAGCGGCATTGCAGGAACACTATGCTGAATCTGCCCATCCAAAGTGTTTTGAAAGAACATATTATTTTTAGTGTTTGGTTAAGCTATGCGTTATAGAATATAACCGCTTTCTTTTGATTTTTGAGAGGCACTGACGAGACTGGCAGAGGGGGTTGGCACATAATGTTTATCTGACGAGGAGTGCTTTGTTTAGATGCTGCACGTGTTCGGCAAGGCGGTGGAGGACTACGTCCGGTCGCACTTTGAGGGCGACCTGAGCCAGGCGAGCGAAGTGGACGCGATCTGGTGGGAGGCCAAGACGCACCTGAAGACGTGCAGCCTCCTGGCCTCGGGCTACCGCGCCGCCGCCATGGTGGCCGGCTTCGACCAGGAGCGCCAGGACCACGTCTACGAGCTGGGCAAGCACATCGCGCTCGCCTTCCAGGTGAGAACCGCACGTACAGTTGGAACTTGGGAAAAAAAAAGCCATATTAATAAACAACTACCCAGCACTTTTATTTATATATTTTCGCAAAGGAAATGTTTTTTTTGTTTGTTTACGTGCGTTTTTTTGCTACCTGATCTGCTGCGTCAGCAGGCGTAGTTGGCGGCGAAACAGAAACGCTTTCACGGGGACTCCCTTTTAAAGGGGAGCTCGGCAGTCTTAAGAACTACGCTATCTAAGCACATTTTTGTAAAATCCAGGCTTTACTCTTCCTAGAATTTTATTCATTATCTCTAAATTCAAAATAGCTATTGAGAAAACGGCAAAAAGTTATGCCAAAACCAAAATTCAAATTTTCCGGCGCTCTCCCGCGGAGAGAGGTAACATATAGCATAAATTGCAAGTCGAGCAGACAGTCTTAAGAAACACAGCGTTTTGCGCATTATCTTTTGTTTTGCTGGCATGAGCTTCCCAGCATTCATTTCTCATTATGAGCCTTCTTGTAAGTCATCAGGAACAACCTGCACTGCTCCCATAATACAACATCTGACATCACACTTTTGTGTAGCCATCTGTAGAGCGTCTTAGACTAGAATGGAAAATTCAATTATTCGCGAAAACAAACTATTGTCACTTGCAACGTGGGTTTATATCAGGGAACATATAGGAACCAGTGACCTTCTAGAAGACTTTTTTTGACTATGTAAATGAAAACATCGACGCCGGTAATTATGTTCTAGAATTATTCATAGATTTTACGAGGGCTTTCGAAACAATCAATCATGATATCTTAATGCATAAACTATATAGTATTGGAATTCGAGGGAAAACATATGATTTATTTCGAAATTATCTTGCTGATCGATTTCAGGTAGTACGTTTAGGCTAAAAATATAGCAAGGAAATTAAGGTAAAACAAGGAGTACCATAAGGTACAGTCCTCGGTCCACTACTCTTTAATATATATGTTAACGAGATTGCACAGGTTAGCTTAAACAGTAAGCTTCTTCAATTTGCAGATGACACAGTAATTGTATACGCACATAGTAATTACGAAGTAGCGGCAATGACTATACAAGATGATATACATAAAATTATTCAATGGTACCGTAAAAACCAAATGATTGTAAATGTTCCTAAAACGCAAGTAATATGCTTTAGAGATCCAAGAAAAAAAATCGTAAATGAATTTCCAATAAAAATGCATGATGAGAACTGCGACAACTGCTCGTGCATCCCGCTAAAATACGCTGATAATGTAAAATACCTGGGTATGCACATAGACAAATATGTTAAATGGAATATTCACATAGACCAGGTTTGCAAAAAATTAAGGGTATTAATGCCCCATATGTACCACATCCAAGAACTAGTACAGCGATCCATACTTAAAATGATATACAATTCACTGGGTAAATCCGTACTTCAGTATAGAATAACAGTTTACGGGCACTGTGCCAAGTATTTACAACTAAAGATAGAATCGATTCAAAAAAGGATAGTTAAGAATATTGGGTACCGACGCAAAGAAACTAATTTCTCAGATTATATGCATAAAGAATTAGGAATATTACGTTTCAGAGATCAAATGAAGTATGATATTATTATAAAGCATTTCTTCACCAATAAATATAGGCGCGAAAATAAAAAAAGAAAGGACATTAAGACCAAATAAAAAATTTGTTGAACCATTTGTAAGAACAAGATATTGAGAGGCCACAAGGAAATATTACATACCTAAACTTTATAATACATTACCCGATGAGCTACTAGAAATAAAATCCCCTAGAATTAAAAAAAAATAGCGAAAAAGTGGATAATTGAACAGGGAAAAAAAGATTCTTAAAAGGTGATAGGTATAACCGATGAGTATCCCCGAAAACGCAGGATATAAAAGGTTGTTATTGTGTTCTATACTTAGAATTGTCTCGTAAGTCGTGAATTCTGTTTTTCTTTACGGTGTGTAAATGCTAATTAAATATGATTCGACGGGTTTACACATGTACTCATCAAAGTAGGCGAACTAATATAAGCTGTAGAAGGAGGTGGAACTGGAGTAATAGGTACTAATATTGGTATGTTTTGTTATTTTTTAGTTATGTGTGCAATAAAAATGCAGAGGCTCCTGTCGCGTCCCGCACACAAGCCATCATTGGCTTATGTGGGCTTTATATTGTATTATTTTCAAACAAAGTAAATAAAGATGGTTTTTGTATTGTATTGTATTGTATGTGTTGAACCGATTTGAGGGCAAATCACTGACTATAAAAATTTCGCCGGAGCTGCCCTTTCACGCACAGTCGTGATTTTCCTACATGAAAGGCTGTTATTATTCAATGGATCAGTATCTTCCTGACCATAACTGGAGTAGTTTCTTGGAGGATCGGTGCATCGATTCGTTTACGGATAAACCTTCTATTGCGATGGAAACCACAAAATCGTTTATACAAAAAAGGTTATCTCGTAAAATTAACTAATCTAATGTTTCTCAAAGACATAATTGCCTAAAGCGCAAGCTGCATTATTATCGACTGTACCGAAAAACCGGACAGCATGACTGGTACGGAAATTTTAGTCAATGTCGAGCGTCTGCCAAGCGGTCTCATGAGCATGATAGGAAAGAACACGATAAGTTTACGGAAAAATTGTTAAATATACAGTCTCGGTGTGTTTTAAAGGTTGTAAGAAAAGAACATGAAAAATAATGCTACCACTATACCGCTGGACACGATGACAATTTCTTTTCGAACCGCGTAGATATTTTGCCGAGTCATTTCAGTCCGTGTATCGGAGCAAATGATAGCTTGTTGGTGAGCTTGGATATTAATCGCAGGGATTTTTGACAAATCGTTCCAATTAATGAAATTGAAATTATGAAGGCAATTACGAAATTGAAACCGAAGCTGCATCGGGAGTGGATGAAATACATAGTTTTATAGTCAAAGGCGGCGCTTCACTGCTTTGCCAAGTGCTGCTTCACATATTTAGCTTGCCACTTTAATCTGGAATTTTGCGTACTGCACTGTAAACGCTCTGTCGTAATTCAGAAGTTGATATGCAAGTTCATGAGGAGCTGGAAAGGGTACTACTAAGGAGGCGTCACGCTGTTTGTTGAAACTGATAATGAATGAATGAATGAATGAATGAGTGAATGAATGAATGAATGGCAGTTGAGCTCGCCCTCGCATGTACTACGATACTTTGATGGTCAAAATTGAAGGGAACGACGGTTTCTGCCACTCACGCCCAGTATCTTGCTCGAGTTATGTGGTCAGTTATGTAACATTAACGCATATGACATCTGTTTACATTAAAGCCGCAATTTCAGTGTTTATACATCATCCAGAAGGCAGGGTATTCACTACGCACATGAGAGAAGTATCTTCAGGCATGCATCAAGCATCTTCGAAGCATGTTTGCTTATGTTTGCTTCAAACATATCTGCAGGTTGGTTTTGCGTAACCAATCTGACAGGAATGTCACACAAGAGAGACACATGCTTTAGACAGTGTCTATAGATTGTCTTGTGTATGACGGTATTAGCAGTGTGACCAGGGCTTAAGAACGTCTTTGATAAAGAGTTTCTTTTTCGAAAATTATTATTAAAGAAAGCGAGCACCCTTGAAGCGTAAGGCCGCAAACAGGTATGAAGCTACCAGAAGTAAGCGGTTTGTCCCGGAAGTTAGCGTTTGACAGTCTTACAGACCTTCACAGTATTAGCCCGAGCACTGTCCAAGGCGCTAGACCTTTCTTCTTAATTTTAACTCCAGAGACCACGCTTGTTGCGTAAAAATAGCACATGCAATCCCGAAAAGATTTTTAGAAAGCCGCGTCCATAATTAGTATTTATCGAGCTTTTTTTTTTAGGTCATTTGCGATGTAGCCCTCCAGCACTCGTAGAACTTGTAACCAGGGTGAGAAAAAAAAGACACACAAAAAAGCGCTAATATAAAATCTGATTGATTTAAATCGAACTTTATGATTTAGGCAAAATTAATTTGAGTAAAATCACCGTAGCGAGAAAAAAATGACTATTTATCACTACGTGTATTTTTAAATATGGTAGAAACATTGCAGATTGGTTGATCTATCCGTCTGATCACTGATAACACTACGGATGAAAATGACTGGGCTTCTAAAGTACAGTTTAAATAACAACCTTGTTATAATGCAACCCCCGTCATACTAGAAGAAAAACTGTTTGATTTTTTTTAATAAGCTACAAAACTTTGTTTGCTTCTTATTTGGCTTTCGGATTTGCTTGCACAGGACGTTAAGTAACCGACGAACAAAGTGGAAGGTATAAATTTTGCTTACTTGATTAAACTCTTTGTAGCAGTAATGAGTGGTAAGGCTGACCCGGACATTCACTGCGGTGGACGATGTTGATTTATATCGTTACATCTAACAAGGAAATGACCGTCCCGCGATTTACCCTAACAAACTATCACCGAACCATTTAAATATGTTTCCGTTTTTTTATTATATATTTTACCTTGAATTGCTTTGAAATGTGTTCCATGAAACGAAGCCTTCCTCGTACTACCTCTTAAGAGGTGTCCCTGTCGCATCTTAATATACAGAAGAGACCTTGAAAGTTTAAAATAAAACAAGAACTCAAAACTTCTTTTTGCGGAGCAAAACGCCTGCTCAGAGGGAAGACGTATTTCTACTTCTGATATTTTTTTTCTTTTTCATCGCGCGGAAAAGCGCATTTTGCATTTGCATTATATCAACATTTTCGTGCGTGGCTCTGTCGCCCCGTCTTCACCCTTTCCAGCCTCATCGAACACTGCCGCCTCTTCAGCCAAGCGACAGAGCCACCTCGCGGAAACATACAACGCGTAGGCACCTGCGTAGCACCTAGCGTTTGTCCTGTTCGCCTTCGTTCTTTGTCCTCGTCGTTAGCGCTTTTATATTTTATAAGTCATGAACCAACTCGCCCTCTTCGCCACTTTAGCACCTAACGGCTCTGTTATGCTCCGACGTTGAGCGAAATAAAAGCAGTGAAGTGCAGAATACGCGCGTTTTACTGCCCGGCGAGCAGGAACTCGATATCTGCGACGAATCAGTATTTTTGCGACCTGCACTACGCCGCTTTTGCTACTCTCACGTTGGACTCTAATACAGCCTTAACGGTGAACTGTTTAGCGCTGAACGAGAGCCTCTGTCGTTGGTGACGCAGCAGTCGCGCCGATTGCTTTCGTTGCGAAAGCGAGTCGCTGCCGGTAGACACCGTGTGACCGGTGCCACAGACGATGCTTCTGCTGGTTGACTTTCCCTTTCCGAGGTGCCGTGAGCCCGTGATCCACGGTCGAGTTTTTTGTTCTGCGTTGCACAGAATAAATTAAATATGAAAGCGGAACGCCTTCCTGACGACCCTGTTTTGTTTTTGTACACCTTTCTTCTTCTTCTTTGACACTAACGGTTTGTTCTACTTTATTCAGCTCCAAATTGTTTAGCTTTCTCCTCCCCTCCCTATTATTGTAATGGACCCATCTGTTCACCAATATCCCACTCTCCAGTCATTTGAGAAAATGGAGCAATAGAGTCCTTGAGAGAAGGAGGAATGTAATAAATATATATGGTAGTCATTGTGTGTATTCATCAATGTCTTCACAGTTCACTTAAAAAGCACGAAAATACCTTGAAAGTAACTAAGTTTCTATGACGAAGTAACTGTAGCTGTAAAACGTTACTTTAATTTTTAAGTAACTGTAACTGTAACTTGTATACATATTTGCCAAACTAGCTGTAACCTCAACTAATTACTTTTTTAAAAGTAACTAACCCAAGACTGCCGATTTACATGTGGCTTTGCCGCATTTTTTTGTTTTTTCAGACATACCACGAGACGAAGCAGTTCCTCAGCACGTCTTATTCGTCCGGACTGAACTATGACCTCACAAGTCTCCCAATGGTCCTGCACATGGAAACTCACCCCAACTTGCTGCAGTCGGCGAAAGAGGGCAGGCTCCAGGAGCTCCAGTTTGCCCAGGTCAGTTTCTCTCTAGACTACATCAGTATTTGGAGAATCGGCATTCTTTATTTTTTATGCTCATGCATCGTGGCAGCAGAGTCGGCTGTCCACTCTTTGCCGGATTTATCGTTCAAAATGTTTCTCCTCGCCGGCACAGAGTTAATGGCGCGGAGACAGCATATCATGAAAAAGTTGTAGTATTTTTGGATGTGGTGCGTGTTCAACAATTCGGGTTGACGACAATTTTTTAATTTTTATTTGCGACGCAGAAAGTGTTGCGGAGAAGCATCGCCAAGCCATAATCTTTTCATCTGTCCAATCTAAATATCGAACAAAAGCTCTTACCACTTGTACAAGTGTCCTTACCGGCATTTTAAATTTTGTAACTTTTTAAACAGGCCCATTGTTGTCTAGGCCCTTTTTTAAACCACTGATATAAGTAATGACCGTATGCATGTGGCAAAAATATATAAATGTTCGCTAATGTTTTATCTTCGCCGTATCTGACATCCTTCTGCTTAAAAAGTTCCGCAGTCATAGTAGTGGATAGCCAAGAATCGCCATTGCAATCTGCATTTTAGACTTCATTTCAGCGTTTTGTTGGGCCGGTCCAGCCGAAAACAACGTCTTTGCTGAGACGGTGACCGGCTGCTGGAAAACGGCTGGGGCTTCTCCCTGCCATGATGGGGCCTTTTATTGCTGAATTTTGCTTCTGCTTAATATGCCAAAGCTACTTGCACAGTTTACGATCATGTTCCGTTACTAATTCGAACGCACTATGGCCACACTGTTCTATACCTACTGGTCTGACTGGACTATGTTGGTTTCAATGAAGATACCCCATTTTTGTTCATTTCAGAAGTCAAGCTTAATTTCTTTCCGGTAAAAAAATTGACGTGCTTGTTAAAAAAAAAAACAAAAAAAAACGAATTTTTGTTTATGTAACTTTTTTATGCTGAAGAATAATGAACTAAATATTGACACGTTCAAGAACGGAACTTAATTTAGATCAGTGCATAAATTAGTGAATACTGAAGACTCCATCGAAACTGCAACTGCACCAATTAAAGTGATGCCTCAACATACTACTTAAGACATCTTTTTTTTCTCTCGAACACATGACATCAAGCTGTCGTTATAAATATTTATAAAAGCAAACAAGCAACAGCATTTCATAAGTATTTTGTGTGATTGCCGCGTGCTGCACTGCAGATTTCTGGGCGTTAACATTAAAGGGGTGGAGCAACCAGTTTCGGAGTTTGCTCAATTAATTGCGGGATTTGTTCTATGCCAGCTATAGAGGCTTTGCACACGCGACAGATTACAGCCGCCATTGCTGAGCTTCTCTTGTCGTAATGAGATGTCGAGCCAATGAGGCGAGTGTTGTCAAACCTCCCCTACCGAAAAAAACAGTTTAAGGTGGATTATGGAACAGGAAAATCTAACTGGGTTTCTAGCTGGAAACCTGATATCCAGCTTGTAGACAATGGTCCGCAAAATGGAATTCAGGTTTCCAGAAAGAAATCCAGTTACATTTTCCTGTTCCATAATCCACCTTAAACTGTTTTTTTTTAGCTAGGGAGATCTAAAAAGGCCTTGGCTAGGAAGAAGGACACAATCAAATCTGAGACGGGTAAAAAGTTTACTGCAACTTAACACAACCTAAATAGTATTTTGCTGCTCTAAGAAAACAAAAAAAAAAAAAAAAAAAAAAAAAAACCCGTCGCGTAATTGGTAAAATGTAGAACTCCTTTAGTCGGTGACAGTAGGTCCTCCGCCTCGAGGAGTGAGCTTTCTGGCTTTAATACTGCTTTGTCGCACGCGCAACCACAGCCCGGCGGAAAACTATGAGCTCTTGCAGGAGGCGGTGCATGTTCATAACACGTCACCGACTGTAGAACGCTCGAAATTTTTTTCTTGCTACTGCCTACCGCCACGTGACGTGCACCCAGGTCCCATCAAGCTAACTCTACAGCAGCCTTTTGTATGAGAGACCCCCGAGATTGTACGTGAAAATACAGTTTCGAATTTTGATTTGAATAGCTCATATGTCGTGTGCGTAAGGTGGCGTATTCCTGGAAATTCGCGGTAATTAAGAAAACTGCAATTTAGGCCTTGCCGTTGTCTTCTCTTCAAGATTAGCTCGTTCAAAAGGGAAGTGATACTTGTCTCTTAAGAAATCAAAACGTAATTAAAAGAAAAGCAATGAATAAATTAAAAAAAACGTGGTTCAGTTTTGAGATATCCTTCTATCAGTGGTCACAAACGAAGGCTTTTGTTTTATTCTCATACTTCCCAAAAACAGTCAGTTCCTTATTTATGGTAAGGTTGTGATATGGGCTGGGTAAGTAGTAGTTGTACATAATGGGGATGAACAGCTAAACAAAAAAGGCGGACGGCGATTAAGAAACACACACGACAGGACAAGATTTGTTATGTCTTGTATGTTTCTTAAACCCTGTTTCCATTTTTTTAGCGGTTTATACTCATTATGTACTTTACTTATCAATCTTCCCTTTCTCCCTTGACCACCAAGGTGCACTCCGAGATCATGACTGGCGACTCCCTGGAAAGGGTGCAAGTCATGCTGGGCTACTACATCCAGGAAGCCCAACTGCTGACCGAGAAACTCGGACCCTCCGAAGCCGCCACCTCATTGATCGGCATCGTGAACAGCTTGCGTGATCTATGAGCGCAAATAGTTCCAGCTCGCGGTGTGGTCGCTGCTTCGTGAAACCGAATGCTTTAATGTGTACAGTTAATTATTGTTCCTAATTGTCAAAGATTGTTACATCCTAAGAAATCCCCGCGTGTCTACTTACCCGCAAGACACTCAAAGAGCCAATCTTTACGTTCTACGAAAACACCTCACCGAATGATGAGGCGAAACATTCGTTTAGGCCTAAAAATGAAGTCTGCTTTGTAGCCTTATGCAATGCAAAGCGTCATGCTTGCACTGCGTAATGCCACAGAGTAGACTTAATTTGAGGTCTAAACAGATGTTCCGCTTCATCATTCACTGAGATGATTTCGTGAATCGCAGAGATTGGCTCTTCGAGTGTTTTCCAGGTAAGTAGACGTGCAGGCATTTCTTAGTGTACAAACGTTGCAGGGTTACGATGCACTCAGAGCAGGGAAATGGCACAGGCAAGGTTAAATGGCCCCCATGGGAAGTCTAGCTCCCACTTACAACCGCACTGCGTGAAGAAGGTTGATATCGCATAACGTTGCTGTGATGACTTCGACCTTGCCATAGGTCCTGGAGTTGTGTGAGTATATGTACATATCAGTTGCTGAGAGGTGCCTTTGGCGCGACGAGTTTACATTTATTTTTATATAAAATATGGTGAGCAGTCACGTGCTGCAATCATGTTTCTTTTTAAACACACTTTTTATAATTGCCTTCTTTAGTATTAAATTTTAGTGCGATGTTTTTACGTACTTTGCGCATCATGAACAAGGATTATACAATTTTGTTCAATTTGGTCAAACAAGAAAAATAAAAAAAAAAATCCCACAGAAAAGGTTTGTATATAGATTTCTTTGGTGTATCCGGTCGACAGGAAATGAAAAGTTACTATGACGATGACTACATCAGATTGTAAATTATATTGTCCCTACTCTGGGTTAGACAACGTAGTTGTACCAATAATCGTCTAAAATATCCGAAGAAATTTTGATAAAAGCTGATTTGACTTAAACCTGGTTTAATAGACCGATCTCACCAAGCGTTCGGCGCATACGCGGGGCAGCCATAACTTTAGTTCACAGGAGGCATTCGGCAGTGCACGAGAGTGTTCGTACCAACGTTGTTCGTACCCTGCACGCGCAGAGCTCCACCGAGGTTGTCGCACGCGCAAAAAGACTAAAGCTCTCTCGATGCATCGCGGCAGCGGTGGCGTAGTTAGACTGGCTGGTGAGATCGGTCTATACACCGATAAAATTAGCTAAACTAGATATTCTAATAATGACTCAATATACACATATGTCGCCAAGTTATTAAATTTTAAAGTTTTAAACATCACAGTTTTTTTAACGAACTGAAAGGCCCTATTGCAGCAAGGAAAAAAGTCATGACACATGTTGCAATAGATTTGTTTCAAAATTTGAAGCGCCCCACCACGGCGAAATACCAAGCAATGCACTCTGAGAACTAGTTGGCCGCTCAGTTTCGGTTTCGATTGAGCAGCTTCAGCATTGACCGAGTCCGCTGCTTGCGTTTTTAATTACCCGGTCTTCCAGGAACGTACAATATCAAAGCATTCTTGAGCGATATATAATGAAGATCGGAACACTTTTCTTGGTTCCCGACATGCCGAATTTTGTGCGTGCGTATGCAAACATAGCAAGACGTGGCTTAGTGAAGTTACTCCGCGATTTTATCTTTTAGCTCAATTTTTACATTCCTTGTTATACCAGTAAACGACAATTGAAATTGTCACTTTAAGCTCTACACGTATTTTGTTTGCCAAACGTTCACTTGTTACTTCACTGAGCGAAAAACAAGCCGCATGCACACAGTATACTCACAGATGACCGCAATGTTGGCGCATCAACTTTTAAGGAGATGCAATACAATCGCCCTCGTTACTGCACAGAATTTACTATGAAATCTTCCTCATGACATCATATATATCCCACTCAAATTTTATACTGATAGAAGATATTATAGATGTTTTCGCCTATGCTGAGAACGGCTAGCTACGACGGACGCCTTCACAAAGCGTCCCGTACTCTTTGCTAATGAGAGAAATACGGACTTTCAGCAGCCAAGTCCTACGCAGTTAGGAGCCCGACTTTTTGAGAAAGAGCGAGACCTGCATGAAAGGACGTGCCTTAGCGTGGATGAAGGGTGCAGCCTCCTTGAAGTTTGCCTCAGAAGCCACCTACTTCAGCTTTCAAAAAAACTTCTTCAGCCAGGCCAGCGAACCCCAAGGGTTCCGTCTTGATCACTACAGCTAATCTGACAATAGATGCCATTAAACAAAGGGCACTACAGTCGTTCGCCACAAGCCCCGAAGTGTTCGTGCGCTACGTGGATGATTTCTTCTGTATCATCAAAACGTCAGAGGTTAGCAACTTTCTGAAACATCTAAACTCCGTCGAACCGGACATCCAGTACACAGCAGAACACAAAAAAACCACAGCTTGCCATTCCTTGATTTGCTTTTCAAGCGACAAGGAGATCTGACGTTTGCGCTATACAGAAAACCAATCTACAATGGACGTTACCTAGCTGATCATCCTGACCAATGCTAAGAACATCTGCTCCTCAGAGACGGACAAAAAAAAAAAAAAAAAAAGAAGAGGAAGGAGTTATCGCCGACCTAAAAAAGAACGGCTACACACGCGGCTTCACCGATCGTGTGGCCCGCCGTCGAAATCATGGTCTCCAAAACTTGCAGCCTCAAAATAGTACGCAATCTCGCCGGAAAACCGACATGTGCATTCCTTACATAAAGGGGACAAGGGAAGCGTTGGCGCATACATTGGTGAAGGAAGGTATTTTGGTGGCCCACACGCCGGTATTAACGCTTGGGCGCCCGATGACACGATCCAAAAACCGCCCTCCTAAAGAAAAAGCACAAGAGGTTGTACACCAAATTCAGTGTCCTGAAGGCTCCGCCACTTACATCGGCGATACACAGAACCTCCATCAAAGAATTCTGTAACACAAGAATGATGTGCGAAAATTTGACCTTGAGCGGAGTGCTGTTGCAGAGCACTGACGATTTTGACAACACCATAATAATGAGCGTTGAAACCAACATCCGCAACGACTTCTCATAGAATCCTGGCATATTCAGACTACACCAGTAGATATGAATAGGCTGACAGGCTCTTTACCATCGGCGTATGTCAATGGGCTAGAGCAATTGAAGAAAAAGTGAGTGAAACAAACGACACTACCATAGTTGAAAAAAAAAAAAAAAAAAAGCTGCTGCTCATTACGTGAAATGCTCGAGTCAGGGGCGACATCAGTCTCCCCTGATGAAAAAACCGAATCGGTTTTGAAACGTCCGGCTCCTAACTGTTTAGGGCTTGGTCAATGAAGGTCCGTATTTCTCTCATTTTTGATCCAACCAAACTGAGTTAGGTCAAACAAGTTTACGTTTGCTCCTCGCTATGCCTTTTTGAACGAGCCTTACCGATGCCCAATAAATAAAATGCTTAGATGAACCAGTTGCTACATCACGGGAAATAAGCGTTGAAGGAACACAGACCTAGAGTAAAATAACAACGACACAGGGCGCGCTCTGAACTGAATTTATTAACAAAAAACGAACAAACGTATATACCAACTTAAGCACACCATCAGACATAACACGTCTCGTTAGTCCCAGCCCAGCCCACGTTGTAAATATTCAAAATCATCCGTAGTTAGAGACAGAGAAGTATCGCTAATGCAGTTTTCACCCCTACTGTTAATCTCAAATGCCTCATGAAGCTCTCTTGACACTTTGTTTTTGTACTTTGGCAAAATTCTAGTGCTGTCAAATGACGGGGCGCAAGAGCATCTGCTGCAACGTACAGCCAAATGCTCTGACGTTGCGGTTCTAGTTGAAGCGGCCTGCTCGCGGGCCCGTGATCATTGACACATCTCCTAGTTTGTCCTATATAGCTTAAACCACGCGTCATTGAAATTTCGTAAACGACGCCAGTTGTGCATTCAGTGTGTCTATTCTTATGCTTGGTATTGCACGGGTCTGTTATCGGTTGGGGGTCATTGATTCTCCTGCATGATCGCGACATTTTGTTAGGTGCTGAAGACACGACCAAGACATCGTAACGCCCGGCCACCTTTTTAAGATTATGTGAGATACCGTGCATATATGGGATCACCACAGGCCGAATGTTACTCTTTTGACGTGATGGTTTCTGCGTCCCCTTGAACGTCTTTATAAGCTTCAAGCCACTTCGACCAATGAGCTCGTTTGGAAACCCCCTTTTCGCAGACAGTCTGCTTGTCTAACAAAACTATCCTGGGCACTATGCAGGCAAGACTTTCCGAGAGACCCCTCCAGATACGAGCTCGCGATGCCTTTCTTCACGAGCTTAGAGTGGCACGTATCAAAGTGACGGATCCCCTTCTTAGATCTAGGGGAGTACTCCCAGCAAATATGCTGACCTAGAAAGCTGAGCTTGAATTACATAATCCCGTCTTTAGGTGTCTTCTGAATAAATGACAATCCGTGGCAGCTAGAATTAAATACCTTTAGCCTCTAGAATTTCGGCAAAGTACAAAAACCAAGTGTCACGCGAGCTTCATGACGAATTTGAGATCAGGAGTGGACGTGAAAAATGCATTAGCGATGCTTCTCTGACTCTATCCACAGATGAGTTTGAATATTTAAAACGTGGGCTTGGCGGGGACTTAGGCGACGTGTTATGTATGATGCATGGTGTGCTCCCGTTGGTATATAAGTTTGTTCGTTCTTTCCTAATAAATTCAGTTAAGAGTGCGCCCTGTTTCGTTGCTATTCTACTCTTGGTCCGTGTTCCTTCGGCGTTTATTTCCCACGACGCCCAAAGTATGTGTATGAACGGTGGATCTGAAATTAACTCGGCCTACTAAGTCAGAAAGAAAGCAAACAGCTATCGAATCTTATGACCGTTAGCAACCGTCAAATGCGCTTGGAATCCTTTAGTTCGTTTGGCACACCGGATACGGGTTCACGGCCGTATTTGTGCCGTTAGGAGAATGGTGCGACATTCTTATCGCAAGTACTCAACTGTTACTTTCTTAAAGACAATCTGTATATGCGAATGTGTTTATATAATTGTAGGATAACTTTATGCGCACGCGCAATATTGAATTCGTAGAACGCAAGCCGTAGGGGCTTCATATCA